ACTTAATTTCATTCAACGCATAAGTTACTAATTTTGTTAATTATACGTGTCACATGTTAATAGACTTCATTCAACATATAAATATCAATTGAATTAGTTCAACATGCATGTTAGATAAATGATTTCATTTAACATGTTAGATATGGATGGACTTAATTCAAAATGTAGGAAGTAAATTATCTTCATTGAACATGGAAAAAATTACTTATCTTGTGATAAAACTTAGCTTCAGGAGAGGAAATTAAAATGTTTTTCAAGTATTTGTTATGCATCAGTATCATCAGCAGTTTTTTTTTTTTGCCAAGCGCAGCTCGAGATTGAAAATTCCTGCGATTCTGGAATCCTGAAATTTAGGAATCCTGTGATGTAGGAATCCTGAGATTTAGGAATCCCGCGATTTAGGAATCTTGCGATTTATGAATGATGCGATCTAGAAATCCTGCAATTCAGGAATCCTGCGATTTAGGAATCCTGCGATTTAGGAATCCCGCGATTTATGAATCATGCGATTCAGGAATCCTGCAATTGTGGGATCCTGCGATTCCGGAATCCTGCCATTCTGGAATCTTGTTATCTCGAACCCAATCATTTCTGCCATTATTAATGCCATTAATAATAAATTTCATGTACTCTAGTGAATTAACGTCCTTTTCAAACCCACATTTTACATATACATAGAAGTTGGCTCTCGTTTCTCTCTTCTTTCAAACTTTGAAAATTTTATTGTGCGTTTCTAATTTAATTTGTATTACCTAATTGCCAAATTATATCGATAATTAATTAGTAAGTATATTTAATACACATAATTTACATTATCTAAAATTTAATTTATAGTAAAATCCTTCCTTTTGATGTAAGTTAATGGGTGTGATGGAAGTTAATGGGTGTGAAAGTTCGTCTTATCCGAAAGATGAATAGCTAAAATTATAATAGCTAAAAATCTAGAAATATTGAGATAATAACTAAAATTAATGTGAAATTAAGTAGCTGCCGCCGCTTATTAATTCAATCATAATTAATGACCCATTAGGCATGGGTCTGTGACCGCTTAATAATAAGCGTCAGATATAAATCTCGAACTTTGATATGTAATCAAAATTTCTATTCTTTATATATTATAATTTTTTTATTATTTCGTCATCACGCATGTGGATAATCT